AAACTAACCAATATGGCGGGTCATATAATGTTAACAATAGGTAAAAAACTGTGACAACATAAACAAGGAGATCAATTAAATATTGTATTAGTAAATCATAGATAATAGATATATATTCAGTACTATGGGAACGATCTTTAGGGGACTTTCATGCACTTTGCAAAAAATCAACTTCAACCGTAAGCGTAACTTCACTTTGGGGTTTTGCACCTTCAAAGCCTGTCTTCCCTGTGGATGAGTTGACCTTGCTGACAATGTTTTGAATGAAATCTCCAATGAACAGAACCCGAAATTATTTAGATTGAGGGTTGACGTCGCCCTCGTACTGAGAATTTGCAATTAAATCTTATTAAAGTCTCTTATTTTTAGAGGGAAACTGGTGCTAAGCGATATTTTCCTGACCCAACTCTTCCCCCCAGTTTGGCGATACACACATTCGTGAGAGAGCGTAGTTGTGACACGTGCAAGCGTGGTGTGCACTATCGTTTTCGGGTTCAAACAGTGTTCAAAGCATAGATTGATAGCGGAAACCGAAATGGTACATGGGAAGTACGTTCGTAAAATGCCTATAAATGCATTTTACCATGCATTGCGAGACATGTTGCTGAGAAAATTGCACAGTGTAACAGGACCTTTATAAATTGTTGTACTGACAGAAATCTTGGAGACACATGTTTCATATCGACTTTGTATCTCAAATGAATAACGTTAGAGTATAATAAATTATGTCATTTCCCAGAATACCTTTCAGTCCTCAGCTTCTATCTATGTTTTGAAACCGAAAATAGTTTTTCGATTGCCCCCCTAGGTGATCGGTATTCGTTCCACGAAGATGAGTAAATCCAAACAGTATGTTTTCTCACGACCGAAGATTCGCATGACGATGTAAAATTAAACTTGGACAGTRTCGCTAAGAACTACGCTTTCTTTTTCTTAACTACTGGACAATAACCAAAAAGAAACGGTAAGAGACTGAGAATTGTTATCTTTAAATTTGTCGAAATTGGAATTATGGCGACTTTAAGTCTTACGGAAATAGAGTTGTCTTTACCAACTACAATCGTCGACTAAATRTTGGAGCTTACAGACACATAATATGATAGTAATGATAATAGATAGGGTAGAGAGCGCTCGAGGGATATATATCAATAATAATAGTTTAAATAATGATAATAATTTAATATTAAAATAACAAACATTTTGAAATTAAAATCACAGTAAATTTTTGTTAACGTTAAATTTCCGTTTTCCGTGAACACAATCTAAAACACACAACTGAGGCCCCGTCCACACGTATCCGGAAATTTTTGTATCCGCAAATTATTTTTTGCGGAAACGAAAATGTTTGCGTCCACACGCAGCGTATTCGAATAGTTTTCACCGTACAGACGTGTCCGTTTTCGTAAAATTTGCAGATACGGACACAAAAATTTGCGGACACGTGTGGACGCATCCCGTATCCGTAAAAAAAAATTTAAATACGGATACAAAAATTTGCGGATACGTGTGGAAGGGGCCTGACTCAATCCGCCAGCCAAAGTATTTGTGTAATTTCGCACGTTCGTTCTTTGTTTTTGAACGTTCATTATTCAAATGTCAGACTTCGTAATAATTTGTCAAGAACTAATAACTGATAACTTCGAAACTTCGCAATAAATTTGTGTTATTTATTATTCGCGAAGGCGAAGTGATTATCGGTGAATATCTACCGATGTTCGAGCGGCCAGGTAAATATTCACCATAATTTCTGAGCCCGGTACAATTTAAGACTTTGGTATCAAAGAACAATAGAAATTTAGGGTTCAAAAAAATTTTGGCATTACTTCCGCTCTGGCAAACTTTAAAAAACCTCATAATCACCGCTACAGCTGTGATTGTCGTCTCAGAATAACTGGTCGCTCGACCAATCACGGCGCGACAAACTCTATATTCGAGTATAAAATTACACTAATTTATAATAATGATAATAATAACAGTTTGCTTATTTATATAGCTCATTATTTCTGTATTTCTTGTCCAAATACCATGTCCAGTAGCACTTGTATATATATACTGTCTTTTCAATGACTCCCTATATTGTTATTTTTGCGAATCAAGATATCGTTTGAAAAAGAACTAAATAGCAGTTGTTGTTTTTTCTCAAAAAAAAGGAAGAAATCTGCGTTGCCGTGTAATTCTGACTCATACAGGTTGTCTTAGTAGTAAGAGCTTTATTACACGATTTTCATCCTTTAGCGAGTTGTACTTATTAGATGCCTGTCAGTTCCAAGTCACTGTAAAGTAGTGACAATCTAGATTTTAGTATTT